TCCCTGAAGTCTGTGTTCCTTTATCTCTTTGCCAGTGCCTCCAGGAGGTCTGTCTGTCATGGTGAACTATACTATCCCATGGAGGCAGAGCCCAGCTCACAGTTAACTGTGTGGTCTCACTACTCAGCCCTGTCTTACTTTGTACACAGGATAAAATCCTTCCTGCTCAAAGAGCACAGTAGGAATTCACCTCCAAGACCATCCTGTCATGGAAAAATATACCAGTTCCTGTCCCATCAGCATACCTGGCATTACTTACAAACTGGGAGGAAGGCACTGAGCAGGAACTCATATATGGGTATTTCCAAAGTTAGCTCACAACTTTTAGAAACAGCACATGCCATGATCAGGTAAAGGAGGGATTCTTTACTAATTTTCCTGAATCGGATTTACTGCCAGAGCCTTGTGGGGTGGTACTGCCGTAGGAGATTACTATGTACTTAGTGTGGAAACTGGTTGCTGTAATTTCTAAAGGCGATGGCTAGAGTGAAGGGAAATGCCTGTAGCCATTTTTGGAGCCCTTCTACAATGTCCTGTGGATAGATGAGCCAGGAAAATCATGGTGCTAACATATAGGTTAGGGACAAACATTTAAAAAGCCTTTGCAGGTTAGTCTAACCTGGCTAGGCTAAATTGGTTTTGTACCCAGACAGACATCCCAGAAATGCAGGCACATGCCTGCAGTGGCTCAGGCTAGAACCCAGGGGGCACTAGAGCAGCCCTCCCTTCCCTTACACAGAGCTGATCTGAGGGGGGCATGGCCAGGTCCTGGCAGGATGCTATGATTAGGGAGGAGTTCTTCCCACCTTCCTTACCGACCCAGCAGGGAATGTTTATCACCCCATACTGAGCATTTATCAGCTCATTAAGAAAACAGAGGAACATTACCAGCTATCTGTTAATCCTGCCTTTTGTCTCATGTGCAACACCTTGGAGATAGCAGGCATGTGGTCTGCTAGCTAATGCTGAGAGGTGTCTGTGAGGGACAGGGAAATGCCTGCTTAACAGAGTGGGGGGGGAAGGTGGAGAGCAGAAACCAGACTGACACCTACAGAGACTACCGGAGCTGCAGCCAGAGAGCAGTGGTGAGGGGGCAGAGAGCCCTGCCCAGCCCAGAGAGCACGCCGGGATGTTGGGGTGTCTGGTTTATCTTAAACCAGCAAGGGATCTGGGACAAACATTGCATAAACCGGTTTGAGCCAAATCAGTTAAGTCTGATACTACATTCAACCAGGTTTGGCTGAAACCCATTTCAGACATTCTCAAACTGATTTATGTGCACTGAAAATCTGTTCTGTTACAGGTTTAAATCAGTTTCTGATCACTTAAACCAGTTTGTGTAATGTCTCTCCCTAGCCCTAATGGACTGCTAAGGACTCCTCCCACACTGCCACTCCCACTGTGGACTTCTTTCTGCCAAACAGAGACTGCATGGCCAGGACCTCAGCCATGTCCACAGGCCTATGCAGGGTTCTACAAACCATCCCACACAGACAGAAGATGAACAAGCTCTCTGAAGAAGCAATGCCATGCTTTGCTCTGTTAGCATTAGTATGGCATGCACTGAATCTGCTGACACTGGATTTTACCGAATTTAGGTCTTCTCAGCATTCATTTCCCTGAACTCCTTATTCCAGATGGCTTCCCTAACTAATTTCCTTAGGTGATGAAAATTCCTCCTTTGGAATTAAGAAAGATCTTTAGTTATTACAACAACTTTGCTTATCCCTCCGGCTGTTTGATATGGATTTAACTCAGGACTAAGATTATTTTCCATGGTATTCTCATAACTTTCCCAAACCATGGGCAGCAGGGATTCAGTGAGAGCTGGAAAATGACAAGCCTTTAGAAGTGGAAACTTGGCATGCACACTATGGTTCTGCACTCCCAGCATAAGGTGTGGGCAGCAGTGTTGTAACAGAGCCAGGCTCCCAGGGCCAAGTGGAAGCAGCAACTCCTGATTCATGAGTACATGTGGCTGCTGGCAACACCTACTTTTTTTGCCCCCTTCCCTTCCTTCCCAAGTGGGTACCTGGATCAGTTGCCCCTCCCTAGTTGCACCACTATGTGTGTGTGGGGGGAGGGCAGTCCAATAGGTGAAGTTCCCTGGAAGGCCAGCTAAACAATGCTCTGTTCTGTGCTCAGCTGTCACTGGAAACCTCCAAAGACAGGGGCCCCCACAAAGCACCTTGGGATCACTGCACACTGTCTCCCTTGCTGCTGAGTACCAGTAATACATGCTCTTGCCATGCTCTGCAGTGCCGTGCTCTGAACTATGGGGCCCTTCAGTAGCTGTACACACTTGGCCTGCCACATTTTGTGGCACTACAGACTCCCCAGAAGTTCTGTACCATTAAAGAATCATTACCACACTCCTGTTCAAACAGCATCAAAATGAGATTAAGATTTAACTCCAGAATACAATGCAGCTTGATGGTTAGGGCATTTCTGTGTGATAAGAAAATTTACATACCATCAAGAAGAGGAGAGAGTAAAACCCAGGGTCAATGAACTCATTCTGGAGGTGAGGGACATCATCACAACCAATAATTCCTCTTTCC